TGAAATATGGTGATATTACTTCTTTGCACATTTACTTAAGCTCTGAGTCCAGTCATTATTTCAATGAATTTTGAAATGAATTTGTTTATATCTTTTTAACAATATGTTTATAGTTTAAATAAAAGCTAAGAGGTCATTTAATAATAAATTATTTTGGCTTGTACTTTATCCCCTGTGAAGGATCTTGTTATTTTATATCTATTTACCAGATCTTGTCAATCAGCTGCAATATTATCTAGGATAGGGTGATTGTATTTGATTATCATTATCATTTATCTAAGTTGTTAGCTTTTTTAGTTCTAAAAATATCTTTAATGCTATAATGATTAGCTTTCGATTATTTGCTTTTATAATTAAAAACTTTTTGTTTATTAATTAAACAGTATTGTTTAATCCTCAATCAAGAAAAATAAACCAATTTATAGTGAAGCAATAATTATATTTTCAATTTCTTGAATATACTTTTTTTTATTTCACAATATTGATCATATTTTGTCACCAAGTATACGTTTTTGCCATCTTCTTTTGTTCTGCCAGTCTTCTTCACACATACCTCTGGTCATCATTCCTTCCTTTATACGCCCTCTTGCCAGTTTTTCTTTGGGCGGCCTTTCTTCCGCCTTCTTTCTGATTTTCAATTCCAAATTCATTTTGTCTGTCTTCCACCCTCATCACATGCCCATACCACTTCAGCCTCATCGTTTCTATGGAGTGGAGGATGTTCTCAATTTGTTTTACTCGTTTCCGTATTTCACAATTTGGAACTTTTTGAAGGCGAGAGACACCACATGGTCGTCTCCAATAGTTCATTTCTAGAGTCAGTAATCCTTTTGATTGATTCTCATTAATTGCCCAAGAGTGTACTTCTTCACTGAAATATTTTAACCACGTGTTGATATGTGGCAACTTAGATTTTGAAAACCATGGTTTATTTATTTATCAAAATAAACAATTTTATAAAATTTAAATAATTACTTGTAAACAAAACAGAATAAAGAGCACCAAGAAATTCCTTAAGTGTTTGTTTTACAGTTTCCTATTATAAAAGAACCATATTTATTTTTATTTTTAAATATTTATTTTTACTGTAAAGGAAGGCCTTTCAAAATTCACAGATCATCTTTAATAACTTATACTGAATAATGACTAGCTTCAATTCAACATTTTTGATTGAACTTGTGTTTTCATTTGTTCGAGATCAAAATATTTATTTTCATTTTTCATTTAGAAAGAAAATGTTTATTTTAATTTGATATTATTTTATAATAAAGTTTATTAAATAAATTATTTGAAGACATTTTAAATCATTGTTTTTCTATATTAAAGTTGTAATGATTGTGCATATTGTTAAACTATGTCGATCAAAAAGTACAATTAGATTCTTTTTGAGGGGGTAAAAAATATCCATTTATCTCCCTCAGCTAAAAGCTTTTTAATAATGTTGAGATGGTTTACCGTGATTATATGAGGAGTTGGTTGGGGGAAAGGAAGGGAGGCTGCGATCAAATAATTATTATATATTAAAATAGTATAAGTACAGAAAAATAATATTATATGTATTTTAAAATATACAATAAAATACTATTTATTTGACCACACCATCCTCTACCCCTGACCAATTCCTTCTCATAAAAGTTTTTTAGAGTTTGACATTTATGATTTTTCTCCACTTAAGGTGGACATCTCTTGACATTGTCATATGATTCGTACACCCTGTATAGAAACTAACTGCATAAACTATACATGTATGATTATAATTCATGTAATCTATTTTAGTCATGTAATTAATCCTTAATTTTCTTTATATACTTTTCTGTATAGAACCATTATTTTATCTGTCTGTGCTATTTTCTTTTACTATTCAGATGTTATTATAATCCTAAGGAAGAATTATATAATTGGACATTAAATTTTATAATTTTTTTAAAAACTCAGCTTCATTTTTTGATTACGCCAAGGGGTTCCAAACTACAAAAGTTTCTTTGTTTTTATGGTGAAATTTTTAAAATCTATTTTAAACAAACAAAATTTAGTGAATTACTCCAACAAACAGGAGGTTTCTACATTTGTTGCATGACTTGTTTCTCTTAGAAAGCTAATTTATCAACTGAAGTGTCTTTTATACGATTTTTTTTTTTTCATCATGTCATAGACCGCAGGACTTAGTGGAAGTATCAATGTAGCCCATGGGTCAAAAAGTTTCGAGTAAATTTTATTTTAAATCAAGTAAATATTTTTACTTTCTCTTATTTATGAAATATATATATATATATATATATATATATATATATATTTTATTTTTTTTGCGGCAAGAGTGCATTATGGCCATGTAGGCCTATTGTACGCCTCTGAAATATGTAGTAATATATTACTATGAAATATATAGTAAGCGGAAGTATTAGGGAGTTAAAAATTTTCTAATGTAAGCCTTCAACGTAAATACATGTTTTGATGTCTCCTGGTTTCAAATAAGGTTTTGCAAAATGTTGTGGGTGTATGTATCAACATCCTAGGTCTAAAATGAAAAGTTATAAGAAAATGAAGTTACATATTTGAGATAGATATATGCCTGGAATATTACATTTTTTTATTGAAATTGATAAACCGGAAGTAGCAATTTTACACACTTTTCTCAAAATTGTAACCACAAAGGTTCGTTCAGATTTTAACCAGTCGTTACTGGTTACATTTGAGTTAAAATGGTTAAATATTAACTATAAAATAATTTGATAATAAACTAAAGGAGAAAAAGGGATGTTAATGCAGGATCAAAGACACTCGAGTGTGCCCTGACCTGAGCCGAAAGATTAGGATAGGCTTTATTTTAACATGTGCTTGCAGATATATCATAGATGAGGAATGCGGTGTATATATATATATACATATATATATATGTGTATACTATATACACATACATGTGTGGTTTTCATAAATGGTAGTCTATCACTAGTATTATTTAATATTTAATTGTATAGATTACAATATTAAAATTAAAATTTGTATATATGCGGGTGATTGAACAAATATAAATAACAATGAAATATAATTAAATAATTGAAGTGGCCTTCTTTATTACAGGCATTCTTATTGGACTAAAAAAAAACTCTTGCACTGATTTATTTATTAAGGATTAAATGTTATATTATATTGTCCATGATTTTTAGTTTCACTTCCCTAAATATGAAAATACCTATTCTCATTCAAAGTATTGTAGGTCGGTTAGTGAAAGTGGTGTGATGTGCACACCACACCACATTTTCCCCCCTTCGTTTGTTTTGAGGATGAGAGGGGAATAAAGAAAAAAAATGTGTTTTAATTATAGCTGATTACATCTTTACGTTAAAGATAAGAAAAATCTTTAATTGTTTTAATAATGTCTGATTTAAGAAAACAACTTTTTAGGTACATCACCTTTTTTGTCTACTATAAAATAAAATTTGAACTCGTACATAAAAAACAAAGTCCAAAATTCTTTAGCTCATAAAAAAAAACATTTTTTAAAAGAATAATTTAAATTTTATTTGAATTATTTATATAAAGATACATTTTAGCATAACAAAGAAACAAGAGGAGGAAAATCCTACATTTAAGACTATAAGGCTAAACATTAAATATATAAAAATAAATCTCTTGAAATAATGTTGACATATCTCAGTGTTATCACTAACACTCAAGTCACCCAGTTATATTAGCCTTAGGTTTGCAATTTTACTTTTCATTCTTTATTTAATGGAATATCATTTATTATGTTCATTACAAAAATCCATTACTCAAAAAACTTTTCAATATGCGCTGACCAACAATTCCGTTTCTGGCTAGCAAGAATCTGATGTTCCACAAATTTGTCATAATAAAAACTGTGAGCAAAGTGATATAAACAGCAGAATTAAGATAAAATGTTTAAGTCTTTGAATGAATTATACTAATTCTCTCCATTAGAAAATAAAAAGAGCTAATTGGGCAACCCAAAATTATATATATTTAAATAAAATTTTACAGGAATTAGAAATATTTTAACTGTGTGGGGTTCGGGTGTAATTTGAATGATAAAAACATGCCTCATAATCTACATATATAATTTTATTTACAATTATTATTTTCTTAATTGAATTGTAAATTTATTTTGTATTTTCTTCAATACAGTGAACTCTAGAAATGTAACATAATAAAATGATTGAGAGTTGAGTATATATATGTACAAAATATATAGTTAGCATTGTTTCATTAATTACAAAATAACAAGCTATATATGATTATTGATAATTCTTCTTGAACCACTAGCATAGCAACTCATCTGAGAGATCCATCCCCCATCATACTAATTCTTCTGTATCAAACTTTTGGGTGAAAGTTTAAGCATATTTCTAACTTGATACAAGAGAGTGCTAAATACATTATCACTCTTTTTAAATTTTTATGAGAATTAATTAGCTAATTTGAGAGAAATTGGGTGTGCTTGCTTTTACTTCCATAGAATGTAATTAGCATTCTTTATTTTTTATAGTCATAATAATATTCAAATTGTTAATCAACATAATCATAAACTTGAAAAGAACCTTTTTGGGGAAAAATAAATGATGTGAAAAAGTTCTTGTAAACTAAGAACCCTTCACTGATCAAAACATTGATTTATTTAACCAGTGATGGGAAGCTGTAAATGATGCATTGAAATACAGTAATAAAATATAAATGTCGAATTAGTAAAAATTATTTTAAAACAATACAACATTATTATTAATTATTGGAATGAAATCTGGTTAAATGTTGATTCAATTTTATTTTAATAACCTCATATTTACTGCTACCATAATTATTCATTATACAAAACACAAAATTACTCCAAACAGAACTTTAAGTTACTAAAAAAAAAAATATTCTTGAATCTCTCAGATCTTTGCACATGCTATTGTTACATTCCATATTCTGGGTACCAGAGTAATAGTAAAATTCAAAATCATTTAGAAATAATTTTGATTTTTTTAAAAAATATTTTCTTCATACTCCTTTAATAAATTTTTTGCCAAAATAACTTATCACAGAAGCTAACTTTATTAATTGAGAATGTTCATTCATAATCTTTTGTTTTCATGTCATTCAGTCCAAGATCTTCATTTTGGTCATAATTTCTTTCATAATGAGTAATCTTGAGCCGAGGATCTGGATCAGGTGCTGTAAGACTCTGAAACATAAAATAAATTGAAAAAAATAGAAATAAATAAATAATAACGAACTGGAAGAGGAGGATATAAAAGCAATTAATGAAATTAGAGTCAAATTTGTACCATCAATATACATAAAGTTGTTAGGCAAAATTTAGTAGAGGTAAAAAAAAAATCTCAGCAAACTTTAATTTTCCTGGAAACGATAATACTGGATCCTGGTTACATATAAATATTGGTTGCTATAAACCACCCCAATTTCATAATTACACTTAATATTATTGGATGTAAAATATTCCAATTATGAAAAGTAAACTGAAACCAAAAATGAGTCTGGCTGAATCGGTCTATATTTTAAATTAAATTTGCAATAAAATAGGACTAAAAAAAATAACAGGCAAAGGTTTATGTGAATATAGCCCCATAAGAAAATCTAAAGGTTGGAGATTTAAGTTTTTCAAGTCAATCCATGTCTAATTAAACAAAACATCGATTATTTTACCACAGCTGCATTCAAACCTAGTCCTTGTAATATATATTTACGCTCATCTGAATCACACTCTCATTTATTTATAAATCAAACAAATTTTGAAATGTTTATACTAGCCACATATTCAACATAGACAAAGAGAACATGCTACCTAGGAAGGTCAGGAGTGTTCAAAATTTGAAGTTTCTTGTTTCTTCACTTCAAAGCTATTTAGGCTAATTACTTTCGCCTTCATAATTCCTTTCATATTTATTTTTTTATCAGCTTAGTCTATAATTGTATTCCCATCAAAAGAGAGGTATTAGTCAGGATAGCATCACCAAGATATTACCATATTACCCAGCATTACACCAAGTTGAAGCATTATCGCATATTACCCAGTATTGCACTGAGTTGAAGTGGCTCAATCCATCCTATCGCCGTCAGTACTTTCTACCTTTCTGCATCAGATCATTAGAACTCATCGACCCTCCTATATTTTTCACAGCTTACAATTTTAATACTCCATCCGATCCCGTCCCACTAGATCTCTTACTTCTGACCTCTATCCCTATCCTCACCAAACTGTTGCGTTTGACGAATCATTTGCAATTCAAGTCGCCTTGAAGTCTTTCTGGAATGCCATTCCTGCTGATATTCGACAAACACAATCAGTTTCCTCTTTCAAAGCTCTTCTCTTTAACACTAAACATACCATAACGGGTCAAATGACCCATTTTGAACTTTTCCATTGAAAATGCACGTATAATTTTATTGTGTTTGCACATTTGACTTCATGACTTTTTCTAAGTAATTAATGTACAGTTATAAAAATATTTTTGTTTTGTTTATTCTGAGTAATCCTTGTTGTATACCGATATCAACCACAACAGGTCATTTGACCCGGAGAGAATTTTTTTGTTTTATGAGATTATCTAGTCATATTTGTAGTCAGTAAGTTGCACATTCTTCCAAAGACTGTTGCGTAAAGTAGTTCAACGAAAATAGCTCAGAATAATTTCAAGAAAATATCAAATTTTAGATTGAAAATAGCTTTTTAGTGTAAGAAAAAGTGGGAAAAATTGAAAGTCTTGGTAAGTACCTAGCTTATATTTTATTTTGATAGCTATAGTAATACAGATCATTTTTTACCCAGAAAAATGTCGAAGCAAACGAGACAGTACAAGTTCTTAGAAGATATAAATAATATTGGCGAAGAGTTTTCAGAAATTAGTGAAGATGAATTTTCTGAAAATGAAGATATATCGGTTGCAAATAAAAATGAGTTTGATTCTACAGATACTGACGATGAAGAGGAAAATATTGTGAATGTATGTAGTGGCTGAAAAAGAATAAGATTACTCACAAGTTCGGAAGAAAGTAAAGTAGAAATAAATGAAGAAAATGTTGCGAATGATGGATCTGTTTGGCAACAAATGCAAGTAGGTGGCACACCTGGAAGAGCACCACTGCGATGAACTATGAATTAAAAGTTTTTATTTTTTGCTTTTGTAATAGAAATGCTCAACATACTATTTTGTTTAATCATAATAAATTTAATTTATATTTTTATTTCCTTCCTAACATCCATATTTCATACATTCAAGCATGAAACATAAAGTCGGGTCATTTGACCCGCTATGGTAGAAATAGGTATATATTAAGTCTTGGTATGATTAGTGTTACACCTACTCCTTTCTCATTACGAAATATACCTAACCGAGCTATCTAAGCACCCCCAGGAAAATATTTCTGTTATTTTAATTTTCTTTGTTTGTATTATACATATGTACGCTTTTCCTGTATTTTTCTATCTCTTCTATATTTTTACTTTTAAATAACTAATATTGTAAACATTTACTTTATTTCTGACCACATATACATGTATTCAGTACTTATAATTTGTTCTAAAGAGACAACAGTCCCAGAATAATAAATATATTTCATTCATTCAAAGGTAGTATTGAGAATGTAAAGTTGTCGGGATTAGCAAAAAAAATCCATATAAAATTAAGGTTGATCTAGCTTATTTGTGTTTTGACAGTGGTTGGTGGATGGATGTGTGTAAATAGGGATTGGTGGTAACAGTATGGAGCCATCAAGTTTACTAAGTCTATAATTAATTTTAATATTACAGTTAGAATCAGAAAAAAAATGGTTTTGACACCTTGAATAACAATTTCGTACAAACCTGTATATAGGAGTTGCCTGCTGGGTCATCCAGAACAAGGGTTACAGCTTCCTCAGTTGCTAAAACTTTGTCTAATCTTTTAGCAAGTCTGGTCAGTGCTTCAGATACCTCGGCTTGTAAGGTATCCCTAGTAAGCACGTTACGTTCTAAACCAGTTTTTAAGTCAGTCAAAAGTCCTTCAACTGTCGTGAACTTGCCGCCAACAACGAACGGTCCAGCTTCCAACTCCAATTCAGGGATCAAAACAGAGCATGTTTCAGACTGTAACAAAATTAGTAGGAGTGATTAACTGTTGTGTACATGAAACTTTAAAAACTATACTCATAATATAATGCTAATATATTGTACTTAGAAGGGTAAAAAGAAAAAAAAGTGAATCTACTTTTCTTATTACCTTTTGAAGTAATCTTAGAGTACATTTGTTACATGTTTCTGATAGGTTTACACCAAAAATGAAAATTTCTTAACAATCTCACATCATCAATAGATAAACGTATATATATATTTAGTATGTGCTTAAATCTAATCAAATTTTGATGTAGTGCATAGCATTACCTTCAGGAGATCTCGAGAAAAGTCTTCTCTAGATGAAACGGTAACCTCAATTTTCACACCGCGTGGTTCGACTCCAGCACCCGATTTAATTTCATTTGTTCGATGACCACAACTGTCACAATTTGTAGCCATTATAACAACCTCTTTAAAATAAGGGATTTCTAAAAAAATATATTTGTTAATTTTACAATTATCGGGTAAGATAACGAATGCATATTACATATGAGTCATTCAAAACCAGCTAAATCCAAAATATTAACACGTTAGCTGCAGTTATAGTCCCCAGCGTCCTATAACTTTTATCAGATATGACTATTTACGTTTCTATCTATCTTTAAATCTACCCAACTCCCATTCAAATATTTTTAAAATTACCATTTTAGAGAATTAAGATAGGCAAAATTCGAAACAATCCCAGACGAAGTAGAGACAAATATCAGAACCCAGGGACCATAACCGCAGCTAATTTGTTAAAAATAAAAATCATTGATGTTTGGTAAAGTATTTGGATTATATTGTTGTTCAGTGAAAGGATTAAAAAAAAAAAAGTTACATTCCTAAAATAAAATGTCTACTCGACAACTAGTCAGATTCATAGTTGCCACTATAACATTATGGTTATTAGAAGTAAGATATCGGTTAAGCTTAACTTGATTGATCTTTAGGTAAAATCAAATTATCATTATTTGAACAATAAATTAATTACTCATATGAATAAAATTACCTACCCTGACATAAGTATTGTTTCCATGTAAATTTTAATATAAATATATATTTTTTTAAAAATACTTCCACTAAACAAAATTAATAATTGGTTTTTATTATTTATTACACCAAAACCTAATAAAATCTAAATAATTTTTGGGTGCTAAAACTTCTTTTTTTCCTTGCTCTTGTGTCTTTCAGCGTCGAGCCCAAGCCTCAGTCCACTTCCTCCACTAATTTCTATCTTCGGCCATTTGACGCAGTGGTAGCGGGTATATGCTCTTTACAATCCCAGTGAAGACAGATCGACTTCAGGGACCTATACGAGCAATGTTGCCTACACGAGGTTTTGACCTCCTCCTCCTATACTATGGGGGGAATCATGACATATGACTACACAAAATATCCTTCCTTCCCAATATTAATCCTTACATCCCACCCTCCTTCTGGGGACTTCAGGGGGTCAGTTGCACCGAGGTGACGGGACCGCCAGCCACTAATACCCTATCTGGTGTGTGTATTCAAAATAAAACAACAGGCTGCTAAAACAAATAAAAAAAGTTTTGTACTATGAAATTTGGATCGTATACCAGTAATGAATACACAGTAAAAGAAAACAAAATATTTTTATGTGACATTATATAATTTCAAAATAGAAAATAATTTTCTAAAATAATAATTTTATAAGCTCTTAATTGACTTCACAATATATGAAAATTTACTGAACTTGGCTATAGAATTCCAGACTTATTCTGATCATTTCGTTAAATTCCTGAACTTACCGGAAACACAAAAAACAGGGTACTAAAATGAATTCACAAGGCATGAGGTGAGGTGGTTGAATTTTAAGTTCTAACTCACAGTGTTAGCTTGATAAAGCATTTTCATATTAAAAACTTCCAACCAAGAAATAAATTTTTTTTTTTCACTCAATCATTTGTGAGTGAAAATAGTTTAAAATGTGTTCTATTTTATTTTTTTCTCTCCCCTTCTTCACCTTTTGAACTGTACAGGATTTTTCGAGGGTCAGAAGAGAGGGTGGATTAATGACACTTAAAAGCCCTCCCCTTCCCAGCACCAGGATTTGAACTCCTAATCTTTGGTTTATTGGGTAGCAAGGCAATATGTTTTTTCACACACGTTAGCCTGCTTGGCCACATTTATTTTAATACTTAAAATTACAAAACAAAATACACCTTTTCCAACCCTAAATACTCAAATATTTTGCAAGAGCAATGAAACCTTATAAATTATAAATGTTATTTACCATGTCCTTCACTTCAGAATCTTCTAAGATTCAATTTTCCAATACAAACAATGATTTTATACACAAACTCAAAAATTAACTTACTAGTCAATTTCATATTGGTAGTGGTTGGACTTGCACAAGTTGGGCAGTTGGTAGGAAATGTGAGTACTTCTGCCTCTAAGTCGAGTGGCTCTGCAGACTCGCCAAGTGGAGGAAGAAGAGATTCTTCATTTCCTTCTGGCTCTCCTATTTCTTCTCTGGTGTATAAACCAAGGGCGTGGTCTTCAGATTTACTCCGATTAAAGTGAACTGTGTGACAGTTAGGGTCTGGTTTTGGTGCTTTGAGGTTTTCCACCCAAGTATTTCCACTTATATCTTCAAGTATCTAAAAATGAAATTTATTGCTTGATGTAGTAATATGCCTTTAGGTATAAAGAAAAGAAAAATCCATGAATTTAATAAATACCATAACAAAAGGGCGTGTTAGGGTTTTTAAAGCTTGTAATTTTTCAATGAATTCCTTAATTTTTTCAGCAGTTTCTGGATCAGACGATTTTCTTATTTCCTGATCTTGAGTTAAACCCCTTACAGCTCGGTCTATAATTCCTTCGACTGTAGTCACCTCTGAAATATAAGATCAGTTGATTAATTGATTAAAAAGAATTCATACTTTTGTAGCATGTGAAATATTTTAACCAAACTTTAGGCAATAATATAAATTGAAATTTTCTATAACAATGGATTTGTTAAAGCTAAATAAATAGGTTTTACATAGAATCTGTAGGAAAATTGTTTCTTTAAGTAATGTGTGTATTTTAAAATTATAAACTTTTCATTTTGCCTCTTACCATATTTGACTAGGAAATGCCAAAAACCATAAACCAAGTCAATAAATGTTATCATCAGTGTAAAGTTATCACTTTATTGCCTGTGACTAAATAAATAACAACTGAATACATTTGGTGAAAACTGAATACCAAAATTCTATATATTGTATTCATTTAATAACATACCTCCTTTCTGTGATTGAGAAGGAATTTCAAAATCCAAAATGGGTAATTTTGTAGCGGTATAGTCTGATTTCACTACTTGACGATTCAAATCTTCAGCATTTTCAACGCTTAGAGTTATACGAACACCCTTCTCTTCAACTCTTCCCGCAGATTGTATTTCATTATTATTATAACCACATTCTGAACAATCAAATGACATAATCACAACTTCCTTATAAAACGGAATTTTGGTCAGAAGCATTTTTGTAATACCCTAAAATCATAATAAATGACGTAATAAATTGGTGTATGTCTATTTTCGTAAATGACTTGATTGAATAAAAAAATGAATGATCTTAGATGGTATTTCACATTTTTATTCTTTGTAATCTTTATTTTCTTGTCAGTCACTAATCAAAAAAGTAAACAAGCTGGTATTCGATTATGATGATATTTCAAATAAGTTGAGCAATGTGCAGTAGAACTACTGCCTGACAGGAAATTAATATAAATTATCAAAGCAACTAAATCACTTATCTTAAGCCCTACAAAAATTAATAATAGCATATTAATGCTTAATTGATACAAAGTTTTGAAAAAATACTTGTACATGAATTAACTTTAAAATTTAAATTTCACTGCTAATTTTGATAAACCTAGACACTCTTACAAAAGTAACTAATTTTTAATTGAGATCCAGTACATAAATAGTTTGAATTTAGCAGTGAACATTTACTTGTTGACAATCCACATGTAACTAACTCACATTTTCCCCACAATTAACACACAGAGATTCAATCTGTGTGATGTCTTCGACAGCCTCATCAGGATTTAGATCTGTAAAAACCGATCTTTTTACTTGATCCACCTCTCCATTCATTGTCATTATTTTCTTTAAAAATGTCGATAAGTTTAAAAATTACAAGATATGTAACCAGTGATAGTACCTTCTTGACAAGGGAGTCAAGATCACAAGTTTCGATTCTCTATGATTATTGAAATTGGTTGTTTTATTTTGTAACTTTATCGCATTTTAAGGGAAATCAATAATGTTGTATAAATATATAGTTTGAAATAACTTTTACATAAATGTAGGATTAATACTATGTGGAAATTGGTAAGGTGCTGCTTCGTGTCACGAGACGGTGAAAGTTGGGAACTAGGGTGAGAATGTCAATATGTCGGAGACTGTTCCGAGAGAAGGTTGTCTCCTTTGAGTGTTGAGTGCTCGCGTATCGTGTGTGACAGGGACCCATGCCGTAGTATGCCTCCAACGTCATGTCAAGCAGCAACATCGTCGTTGAGTGGCTTCGTTCCCTCCACCTCGGGCAATATGCCGAATCCTTCCTCGATAACGGCTACGACGACCTGGAAATATGTAAACAAGTAGGAGATCCCGATTTGGACGCTATTGGAGTATTCAATGCCAATCATAGGCAGAGATTGCTCCAGTCTGTGCGGACTCTCAGGGAAGAAGGAGCTGCATCGGTCTATTTTACTCTGGAAGAATCGCAAGCGATCCAGGAGGAATGTAAGGGTGAAACATCCTCGGCTAGGTCGTCGAGGAATTCAGACAAATCCCGGAGTCCATCCAGCGGTAGTGCTCAAGAAGTACCTCGCTACGTCGACGAATATGAAGAAGGAAAAGCCGAATTGGTTAGAATTCCCAAAGTGCAGTTGAAGATGTTAATTCGGGAACGTTTGGCTCAAGATGGAATCAGGCTCAGTTCTCAACCCTATTCTACTTCGGTAAGTTTATAACCTGCTGATCAGTTTCCTCCGCTTTGTTTTCTTAGTATTTTATCATAATTATATTTAAAATTTACAATCTTGAATTCATTTAGGTTCGTTTAAGATTATAGTTTTGTAAAATTTGGGGATTATGTCATTTTGTGATAATACATCATTGTGATAACCTATGTTTGAATGATTACAGTTCAAACTTTCTGTCACTTTTAGATATTTCACTATGAACTTCATGTTATCTGTTTAGATCATTAGGTTAAATAAAAAGCTCTTAATAATTTTGTATTCCATTTCATATGAAAATATTGATACAATGAGTACTAGTTGAAGGTGCTTGATAAGTTGGGTATCAAGTTTGAAGTTTATTATTCCCATCATAATTAGTTAATTTTTTTATATGTATGCAGTTTATCCTCTAAATAATAAGTCATTTATGTTTTCAGTTATATTTTTTGTACATATCTTGAAGTTGAGAATAATATGGTATTAATTTCTGTCAAAAGATAAGTTCACTATTACGGTTATTTACATCTTCTTTGAAGTAAACTATTTCATAGGTGTAATAAACTAGAATCCTGATTCATATTTTATATTTAGATCAGAAGTTTATTAATTGCCATTATGATTTAGTTTAATTAGAAATTTACAGATTATAATGCATTGTAATTTATGATATTCATTTATGCGTAAGCTTATAGTTGTGAGAAATTTCTTTTGTCTTTTTGTCATCTTACATATTTTGACCTTGTTTGTTCTATTCTATTTTTTTTTTTTGCGTGTTTTCTGATTCAGTAATTCATTTAATGATACCTAAATTATCGGTTGATTTAAAATGTATATTACACAATTCGTTATATTTTCATGGTAAAATTGAATGTTTCATTTTATTAAATATTGCAGAATTATACAGAATCATTAGATTGTTTAGGAATCTGAAGGAATCCTTTGTTAATTATTAACTACTTTTATTCGGAAATACTTGTCATTTAATTTCTTTAAAATTTTACTGTAACTTTGATCATTATATACAGGTAAATATATCTTACTCTCAATCAATGCAGAGCTTTGTTACGGTTGTACTGCATTTATTTATGAAGTTATGGGAATGCCTGATTCCTGTCTTAAAAATATCATTGATAACGTTGTCACCTCCATGCTTGATTTTCCCGAATCATTTCCTGAACTAATGTTAGTTACTTATCATGTTTCCACCTGGGAAATTTCTCTACACTCATGGTTCACATCTTTGAATTTTAAGATGAATTGAATAATTATGAGTATGAGCTCACAATTTTATAACTGAAATAATATTTAAAATGATTTTTTATAAGTATGATATAGATTTATCGATTTTATGATTGATCTTAATCGGTGTTGTCGCTATGAAAATATTATATAAAAAATAGATAACTATTAAACTACATTTAGAGAATTAAATAAATATTCTCTCCATTTCTTAAAACACGTATGAGTTCATATCTATTGATAATGACAAGTAAATGTATATGAAAAAATGTTCATTCATTGTATAATCCAGTTTTATTATTTAATATTGTGTTATTTCTTCTATTCAATGTTATTCTTTTCAATATTTTGGTTGTTATAGATGTTAATTTTATTGTTCCATATCCTGAAATATATAGCTGCTATGCCAATTATTTTTACAATTTTTTTTAGCTTACCTGTTACTGAGGCATCTACTTTATGAGCGCAAGCTCTCCTATTACTTAGTAACTCCATGTTTTTATCTACCAATACTTCTATGTTGGTTCAATCGTAATGATTTTTTATATTAATCGGTTATGTCAGTTTTTCACAATCAAATTACATATTTAATTTTTTTTTCTGTATGGACATTGTAGAGATTTTCCCATTTCATCGATACTGTCGACCCATCTGCCAATCATGAATCTAGAATTTTAAACTGGTTTCACTTTAGTTTTTATATGCTCCAAGTTAAATGTAATCTGCTTTCTTGATTGTGGGCTACTATTCCAAATCACTTATACAATTTTCAACATTTCCACTTTCAGAATATATTTATATTAATATTTTATTTAGCATATTTGAGTAAACCTTTTTTTTCAAAAATTCTACTTAAAGTATGCGTCGATTATCAACAGTTACAATTCTCTTAATTTTTACTTTATGGATTTCTATTAGATTATTGATCCTCTTTTATTTTTTTAAAAAATTAGAAAAAAAATTTTGTTTTGAAAAAAAAAATGAACTCAGAACAGCGCCTTACGAGTATACAACCCTCAAGACATCCGAGTACAATTGGCCAACCTACAAAGAACTGGTAATCGTTTTCGGGAAACGACATATCTTCAATATGGGGGGTCACTATGGGAAACACAATAATCTAACTTAACTAACAACGACATTATTGCTAAACCAAACTATTTATTTTATTTTTCTTGATACCGGCAGCAGATGGAAAGCATAAAAAAAAAGAAACAATTACACTAGCATACGGAAGAAATCATTTAAATATTTGATAGTTAGGAGTAAATAATTTAATTAAAAATTATATATTGACTTGACGCCGATTTAGAGGGTTGGGAAGATAAAGAAATAACTCCAAAAAAATAAATTATAACTACTATTTTGAACATACGATTCATGCCGAAACTTATAGTCCGTGGTACAGACCCCTTTTTATCTAATTATTAACATCCGCCTGAAACTCCTTAAATAGTTTCATCTCATCGTAACCTATATCTATTTTATTTACGAAAACTCTTGGAATTGGGGAGTTTTCAATCTGGAAGGAGGCAAACTTTGTCTATTTAATTAGGTACTAAAAACTCGTAAATACCCATTTGCTTTCCACTTTAATCACAAGAGAATTTAATCACATAATCGAGAAAAAAGATGGTCTACAAAAATATTGTGCCGTTTCTTCTGTATGATCTCGTTATTTTGAAAATTTGAGTATGTAGGTCTCGTCGAACGGCTTAATATTTTTTAAGTCAACCTTTTTTCTCTATTTCGTGATCAAGTTATCTTACGATCCAAGTAGAAAACCAATGAGTATTTACGAGTTTTTAGTACCTAATCAAATAGACAAAGTTTGCTCCCCTCCAGATTGAAAATGCCGCAATTCCAAGAGTTTCCGTAAATAAAATAGTTGTAGGTTACGATGAGATGAAACTATTTACGAAGTTTCAGGCGGATGTTAATAATTCGATAAAAAGGTCTCTGTACCACGGACTATTAATTAATGCTATTTTTTTTTAGTAAATTACTAATGATGAAAAAAAAAATGTTTAGGCCAAAAATAGAAATAACCTTTTATTTCTTTTTCTTTGTTACTAGAAAGGTAATGTTAGATATATAATTGTTTGGTAATAATAAACTACAGTGAAATAATTTGCAGCGTTTTTTTAAATAGTATAAAACTATTTGCACTGCTTTTGAAAAATTTCAGTTTCTATTTTTTTATTGATATTTTTGTTTTTCCACCCTAATTTATGTTGTTATTTTGATAATCAGAGAGAATAAGTCATTTATTTTTCATCGAGCAGTCTCCAAATTTAATTAGGTTGAGATCTTAGAACACAACTAGAGCAATATAAAAAGAAAAGTTGTTATTAAGCCTGATGTATCAACATATATATACCCTTTGTAGTTCCAGTTTCTAATCCCACAAGGTAATGAGGGAGTTGAGGATGAAGATTAAAAATGCTCTTGTACAGTTGAAGATGACAGCTCTCCATCATACTCGAGTACCTTTTTAGGGCTAGAAGGGCTGCACTCTTCAGTTATACAATCCTTACCTTTTATTGACATAATGTTCCCTTTGTCTTCTCGCTGTTTAATTTTTTTTTTTTATTCAAAAGGTTCTTCATTGGGCGTTAGACTCATCTGAACTTCATTTCTGCTCTCAATAGTGCAGCTTACTTTAAAGACAAATAAGAATATTTCATATAGAGTGGTCCATTCGTGGTTCCAAAATTCTCCAAAACCATCCAGTCATCTTTTTGACCACCGTTTTACTGGTTCCCAATAGGACTAATGAGCAGATGTTACAGAACAAAATGAAAGTAATTTCGACTTTAGTGCAAAGTTCGATTGATTTGCATCATTCGTATAGCTCTTGTAAGTGGGTGGTGGTCTCTACCTACTTAAACCAATATTTCAAATTGAAACGTCCTTCCTTTCGCTTGGAGGTTTCATAGATTCCTT